TTCCACAAGAGTTGCTATTGAACCACCCTAACATTGGGTGTTTCGTAAAACCACTGTGGGTATGGATCAATGTGGGAGTTTCTGCTTAGTGACTGTCAAATCGTGCTGATTCCTCAACTTCCAGATCAAATTCTGAACACTAGGTGGATGGTGAATGATCTGAAGATTGGTGTTGAAGTAGAGAGAGGTAAAAACAGGCAGGTCTCAAAGGAGTCATTGAGTGAAGCTATCAACTTTGTGATGGACAAGGAGAATGAAACAGCTAAGATGTTGAGGGCAAACCATGCCAAGCTGAAGCAAACACTTTGTAGCAGAGATTTTCAAGAAGAATATATAAACAATTTCATCCAAGCTCTGCAAGATCTTGTAAAAAAGTAGTGTTATGTTGCACAACAAGATGAATAAAATCCAATGTAGGATCTAATGAATAAGCTGAGTGTAGCAGTTTTAAGGTGTTATGTTGTTAACGTAGAACCCTAGTTCAGTGTGGAGGTTCTATTTATGGTGAAAATAATGGTTTTTAGAATCGGATCGGTTAGCGAATCGGTCATGTTATCGGTTTACTTGTTCAACCGGTCGAATTGGTCCGACGGGTCGGAAGAATCGGACGACGTCATAATTATTTAAAAAATTAAATAAAAATATAAAAAATATTTAATAAAATATAATTTTTTATATCACAAGTCATATTTAAAGCAAGTTATAACATATATAAGTTAAAAACCATAAAATCAAATAAAACAAAATGATTCAAATTAACTACAACATAATAATTAAAGTAAATTATATTAAATAATAAATATAATTATATATCTATAATTAAAAAATAAATTTGGAGCTAACAAAATTATAACAAAATAATATTATTTGGTTTAATTTTTTTTAAAACAATCTAACATGGCTAAGAAACATAAAAGAGTATCCCAAAAGTTTAAAGAATAAAAATATAAGAACAAAACAATCCCACATGGTTAAGAAACATAGAAGAGCATCACAACTAACTTTTATAAATAATAGAGGTAATTTAGCATTCAAAATCATGGAGCCTTTTGGTAAGCATGGAGTGAATTATTCTTTCACTTCAATCAAACTCGAATTTTAGGCTTCAATCGAGCTTCTAAATTTTTTTTGAGTTCAAGCCTTTTCGAGTTCAAGTTTCAATATTATATTTCGAGTTCGAGTTGAACTTGATAATTTTTAGCTCGTGAGTTTGAGTCGAGTTGAGCTTACTTTTAAAGTTTTCAAGTTCGAGTCGAGCTCAGCAATACTCGAGTTCGACTTGGCTCGTTTAACAAACGAAGTCGTTTGGTTTAATTTTTTTTAAAAAAAAAAAAACAAAATTGGCGGTTTTTCCGGTTTTCAGTCGGTCTGGTTTGAACAATGTAGTGGTTCCGGTCGGTTCACTAATAGCGGTTCAACCGGTGTATATTGAACTGGACTAGACAACGATTTCCGGTTGAACCGACCAATCCGGTCCGATTTTCAAAACAATGGTGAAAAGACGTACAATTATCCAATATAATATAATTATATAACTATTAGTGTTGTAATAATATGGGCAAAACTTTCGAGATAATGTTCTGAAAAAAATTAATTCACGAGATAAAGTACTCCCAAGATTAATTGCTCAAATAAGGTGAAATCCACAGTGTTGGCCATAGGTTGCCATGCCTTCCAGGCAACCTACTAGGTCGCCATGTCTTCCCGGCAAGTTTACAAGAGATTGTATGTGCCATGCACGTCCCAACACGCTGGGCATCCGAGGCCATCCGACCGAGGCCATCCGAACGAGCTATGCGAGGGAATCCGAGGGAAGCCGAGCGAGGGTAGGTCGCCCGGAGTGCATGGCGACCTACAAGGTCACCCGGAGTGCATGACGAGCTACAAGGTCGCCTGGAGTGCATGGCGACCTACAAGGTCGCCCGGAGGGCATGGCGACCTATGTGTTGGGACGTGCATGTGCCATGCAACACGTTCATTCTCTCTGTTTGAGCAAGGGTAGATCGCCCGGAGTGCATGGCGACCTACAATGTCACCCGGAGTGCATGGCGACCTACGACCAACACTGTGGATTTCACCCTATTTGAGTAATTAATCTTGAGAGTGCATTAGCTCGTGAATTAATTTCTTTCATAACATTATCTCGAAAATTTTGCCAATACGGGCGTTTGTTTAACCGTGATAGTCATAGACTCAACAAGTCAACGTGGATATTTAAAATCAAGGTTTTCGTATGCCGTCATGCGCATGAAGTCCTTTCAATTGGTCTAAGCCACCACACTTCACGGCCAAGATCAACGTGGATGACTCCTTCTGTCCCACCTCTGCTTCTGCTCCATTGGGGTCCTGGCCCGTGACGAACATGGTTGTGTACTTGCTAGTCTTGCTCGACCTTGAGATGTCCTTGGTGATGCAACTGTGGTGGGGGCGTAGGCCATCACGGCTGTCGGCTGGTAATAAAAGAAATATTGACATAAAGCCAATAAAATATTTAAGTTCCACAGAAAAAGATACAAGCAGATAAAGTTACACTCAACTGCTTATCCAACAAAACTATAACATGAAAAACGATAGAAACTCAGTCTAATAAAAACAAAACACAGCAAACACCACGTCCTTATCAGCATTACCGTCTTTCTGCCATCATTTGCAAATAGATCGGTCATAATATTTCGCTTTCGATTAACATAAATAAATTTAACTCCCCTAATTTGGTTAGTTAACATGTCAAAACTTTTAAAAAAAAAATCCAGAACAACCACGGTCTTAATACCAGCTTCGAAATCCATTACACCGGTGTTAGAGAGTCTGATTCAACAATCAATTTATAGCGGTCACCAAAGCTATATTCAAGGAAAATTTTAAGAGCACATTATATAACAATCAACTCAGCATGATCCAAGCAATCAAACTAAAGATGGACCAGGGAATATTGCACATACCTCGCCTTGATGATCTCTTAACACACCGCCACAACTAGCTAGGCCTTCTTTGAACGCCCCATCAACATTAGGGCTGTTCATTCGGTTAAAACCGAATCGAATCGAACTGAATTAATCATAACTGAATTAACTAAACTTTTTTTTCTTTAACTGTTAATCGAACCGAACTTTTTTTCAAATATATTAACCGAGCCGAATAAATTTCGGTTAATTCGGTTAATTTTCGAATTAACCGATTTTTTTTAAAATTTTCTAATTTATATAAAAATTAAATGTTTTTTAATTAAAAAAAGTTTATAATTAATTTAAATAATATATAATTATAAAATAAAAATTTCAGATAAATTTTTTAATTAATTAATATTGATTTAGGTTTAAAAGTTATTGGATCTTAAATTATTAATTGATTATTTTTAATTAAAAAACAGTTTACAATTAATTTAAATAATATATAATTATAAAATAAAAATTTTATATAATTTTTTAATTAATTAATATTGATTTAAGTTTAAAAGTTATTAGATCTTAAATTATTAATTGAGTTTTAAATGGTTTGGGATGAGCCCATATGTTATATATAATATATTTAAAATTTAAAATTTAATTTCGGTTAATTCGGTTAATTAACCGAATTCGAACCGAATTAACCGTTAACCGAATTTTAAAAATTTTCTTAACCGTTAACCGATCGAACTAATTCGATAATCAAACCGAATTAACCGAACTAATTCGGTTCGATCGGTTAACTGAATTAATTCGATTATTTGAACACCCCTAATCAACATTGAATTTAAGATAACCCGGTTTCGGAGGCTTCCACTCTTCACAAGTAAATAAAACAGATTTAGATAACATCAAACATTTACAATGATTACACCACCAATCTACACTTTCACATACAAAATTTGCAATTAATAGGATAGAAATCAAACTATATCGTTCCCTTCATTAATAGGAGCCTATTCACTGTTGAAATCGTCAAAAACAATCATTGGTCGTTCAAGATCATCCTACTGAAAGGATGAGTTTTTTTTCATCTTATTTATTCTCTGTTTTTGGGTTTTGTTTTGTTTTTTAAAATTCTTTTTTGTTCTTTTTACAAGTTTTAAAATTTTATTTTTTGTTTAGTGAATGATTTAGAGTTTTAAAGGTTTGTGAGAGTTCGGGTAGAGTCAAGGCGAATTCACCCCTAGGTTTTGGCACATATTTAAAACAAGTCTCTTCTAAAGCTGAGTTAATTTGATATCATATAAAGGTATAACACTCTTGGGCAGGGTCGGTCTAATGAGTTTTAATGCCCTGAGCGAGATAATAATTTTATGCCCCTATACTTGTACCGTATAATAGACAAAACATAAATAATTTTTTTAAAACAAAAATATAATAAAAATTATAGTCAAACAATATCAATACTAATAAAAAAAAACATCAACATGAAATAATAACTAAAAAGTCTCTACGGGGGAGCAAACCTTTTTACTTATTTCTTGAAGCTCTGTAGCAAGAATGAATTCATCGAGTATCAGATAAATCTTCATGAATTTCAAAGGAAAAAAGTTAAGTGAAGTGAGAGGAATATGACAATCAACCGCAATATAAGTGTTTAAACCAATTAGGGGAAATAAAGCAGTTCACAAGTTGGATAAAGCTTGCCAAAAGTAATTTGAAATGGCATATAAGCAAGTGGTTAGACTTGAGATCACAAACTCACGATTTCAATAAGAAATAAAGCAAAATGAAACGGGAAAAAACAAAACTTTTTGGTTTTTGGAACTCGCAGTTTCATGGGAATTAGATAGAAAACTTGAATCCAGCAAGTAATGTTTATGCAAAAGTTGATAATAACATACCTTGTGAAAATTAAAAACTATGTCAAGCTCACATACATTGCTGAAAAAGTGGCCCAATATCTCCACAAATAAATGAATATATATAGACATAGGCACGTAGGTTTAGAGCCAGACCGAGACTCATCCATAAACCGGTTACAAGTACAAATAACATAAAGAAATGTAACCAACGTTTATTGGAAAAAGCAACCTCAAAGATTTGGTACCAAAAGTGATTAGCGGTGACCATTGAATAAGTTTCTTCGGCTTGAGTTGAGTTAAAAACACGAAATGTATTTGCACCATCACCATCTTCAAATAAAGTATTCTCTACGGTAGCACCATGAATAACGCATAGCAGAGCCGCACCCAATACACTGGCAACTCCCATCCTCCAAATATGCCAGCTCATTATCTGTTATGTCAACACACAATGAGAAAAACAATCCAGCATAACGCCTGTAGATTACCTTGTGCGTACGGAGCTGCAAAAGAAAAAATGCATACAATCAATCAAACATTCAGCAATTGCTTGCTTAAAATCTAAGTCTTGCCCTACTTTTGTATTTCTTCAATTTTCTCGTTCTTATGAGATATTCTCTAAAACCATCATTTAAAAGGCAAATTTCCCTTTCCTCACCAAAAAAATCCAATAGTAAAATATGAAGTATTAGGAATTCACCAAAAACGTAAGTAAATTAACAAACGTAATTTAAAAAAAGAATAGGGGATTTTACCAACCTCCACGAAATTAGTAAATTTGGGGTCTCTGTTAGCCGCCAATCAATGAACCTGTAAACGAATAATCAAAATATTCAAAAACTGTAGCTAAGAAATTCGCCCAAATTCCAAAACCTTATGGGGTGAAAATAAGGGGTTTCCAAATGATCAATAAAGAAATGAAAATTGTAATACCTTGTATTCGACTTTGTGTTTCGCGGAATCCTCGAGGGAGGGGAACATAGTATTTGGCCAGACGAGTCTTGCCTTGCCTATTTCGCAACAAAATAAATCGGATCTGCCAAGGCCAAAACAATATGAGGTTTATATCAAAAGAGTCTCCAGCTCTTTTCTATCCGGTAAAAAAAATTGACGAATTGGGGAAGGAACAAAAAAACAAAACAAAACAAAACAGATAAAGTACATACCATTGTTTGGAGCCAAGGAATTCTGAGGAGTTGAGGGGCAAAGATTGAAAATCTAGAGCTCCAAAATGGTACAAAAAGATGTTCTATTTTCAAGTTTTTTCTCATTTCTCGGTTGGTGGATCGGGAAAGCTTTGAAAGTTAGCTGCTGAGAGATACTACTGTGTAAAACTGATGCCCCTACATGCTGCCCTGGGCCGTCGCCCATCGCACATGTATTGGGCCGGCCCTGCAGTCTTGGGTTAGAACGAATATCAGATAGTGTTTTATTCTTGTATCGAAGGTGGAAGTAAAGCCATGTTCAAACCCCACCGTTGTCAAAAACAGGTCTCAAAGGAGTATATCCATGAACTTATGATTGGCATTGAAGTAGAGAGAGGTAAAAACAGGCAGGTCTCAAAGAGTGAAGCCATCAAATTGGCGTTGGACAAAGACAATGAAAAACTCATCTGTTGAAGGCATACAAATGCTAAATTGAAGCAAACACTTTACAGCAGAGATCTTCAAGAAGAATATATCAACAATTTCAGTCAAGATCTGCAACATCTTGTCAAAAATTAGTCTCAAGTTGCAAAAGCCAATGTAGAATCCAAGCTCGGTGTAGCAGAGTTTATTGCGTGATGTTCTTTAATGTAGATGTGACTGGTGTGATTAGTATATTTTAGATTTTATAAACTCTTTTATGAAATTATAAATTTTTATTATATTTTTTTTCTTTTTATTAAATGTTATTATGAATGTCTTTGTTAAACAAACTGTTAGTTAGTTGATGGGCAGTTAGCTTGTTGGGCTGTTGTCACTAATTCGCCTGTACAATTATGTTAATGGGCCTTTTAAAAGACTCTCTTTGTCATATGTAATAGAGAAAAATGTCACTACGAAAATTTAAAATTTCATCATATCTTCAGAATTTTGAGTATGGTGCAGAACCTTACAAATTTTTAAGATATAATATTTTTTAAATTGATCGTCAACCTTATAGATTTGTTATAAAATAGCCATTCAACTGTGGCATAAGACAACTGACATATTATTTTTCTTTAATAAATTAATATTCTCATTTTATTGGTGAGAAATACGTAAAATCATGGAATGTAAGTAACTGTTACGACTCAAACCTAAGATCTCTTCTTAAAAGCTCAATGTCTAAACATTACACCAAACTAGAATCTTAATACATTTTTTACAAATACAATTTTTTTATAATAGAAAAAAGTTTAAATTAATTATTATCTTAAAATTTGTATTATAATTGATTTATTTTTCATAAATTAAATATAATTAATTTTAACCATAACTTAAATTAATACTATTTTTATCAATAATATAATAACTTGCTAGTTTGGTGCAATCTTTAAGCGATAGATCTTTCTTCTAAAGAAACTTAGGTTCAAGTCCTGTAAAAATATAATCGATAAGGATCAAACTTTGGATCTTTCTTATAATATTTTATAATTGATATATTTTTATAAAATAAATATAGTTATTTTCAATCATAATTCAAGTTTAATATTATTTTTATAAAAAATTATGTTGAAATTTAAGTAGGTGTAGTGGTTAAAGTTGGACCCTTGAAATAAAAGCAACATCAAACCCGAATCACAAACCAAGTTACCTCAATGGCTAAAAGAATGATTATTATTTCTAGAGGCCTCAAGTCGAGCACCAGAAACTATAAGAGTGTTTGAGCTTTCATTGTTATATAATTAAAAATCTTTAGAACAAACATTATCTTGTAATCACTCTAAATTAAGTGGGGGAAATTCAAGCCCCAACAACTGCTTTTTTATAATTTTAGCCATCAATAAGATGACATGTAATTTACTAAAGAAAATATCAAATTAAATGTTGAATGACCATTTTATAAATTTTGAACTTCAGTTGTGCAAATAAAATCTTATCTTAATTTTAGTGACGGTTAATGTTGTTTACACTTAAAAAATAGGTATCACGTAAGAGGAAAAAAGGCTTCCAAATTCAAGTACGTTGTACACATTGGACTTAAAAAATCTTAAGTATTACGTCAGAAAAAAAAATCAAATTTGAGTATGAAATAATATATCAAGATTATATGCTATTTTGTTAATCCAAAGGTTATTTTCAATTTATTATATATATATATATTATAATATTATAGGTATATAATCTATTTATATTATGTAAAACTAATAAATTTATAACCTTTAAATTTTAAAAAAATAAATAATTTAGATTTAATTAAAATTTATAATCAATAAAAGATTTTTTTTTTCAATTCACAATAAAATAATCTTCTTTACCATAAAACCCATCTTCTCCATCGTTCCTTCTTGCTTTTGTCCATAAGCATCACCAATATAAGTTTATGTTCCTTTATTTTTCTCTTAACAGAAAACTCTTCCTCGTTGAAACTGATTATTCATCTTGTTTTTTTATTATCTGTTATTAATTTCTACTAATTGAAAGCCTACCTCATAGAAAGCGTGTGAAAGTTATAGAAAATTGATAGATTGAAGTCTGCAAGTAAACCTACTTTATATGGTAAGTCGGTGGTTACGACTTGATGAAAGTAATATTGAGCAAGATATATATATATGGTATAGTGTTATCGTATTGAAGAAAGCTTGATAATGAGAGCAACAAATGTTTGTAGTTTCGAGGTCTTTGTCTATGAGGTTTTTGCACTGTTGTTGTGGAGTGGGTAAATATAAAATGAAGAGGCAAACAAACATGTACATTCTCTCGTTTGTATTCGTTCAATTCGTTTACACGCCAAGCTATAAGTCAGTATCATCGCATGAGAGACTGCATAATGGAAGTCTGTACAATTGTTGATAATTACAGAACCAACAAATAAATGATCGTCTGTTAGACATCCACAAGTTGATCAGGGCAGGCCCTGGGCATAGGTCAGGGGGCGACCGCCTAGGGCCCCAAACTTGGAGGGAGCCCATTTTTAAAATTATTTTTAAGTTTAATAATTAAAAAATATTTTTAAACAAACTTTTTATTTTAAATACTTGAAAATATGGTAATTTAGTGTGCCCCAATAATTAAAAATATTTTAAACATCATTTTTTATTTAAAAAACTCGAAAATATAGTAATTTAGTGGGGCCCTATTTTAATGATGTAGAAATCTAGGTATGAGCCCCCACTTGTCTTTTTGCCATCACCTTCTGGCCTAGTGCCCTTAAAATGTCAGGACCGGGCCTGAAGTTGATATACAAAATACTCTACAAATATCGATTTATGGTAAACAGACCGTCAAACATTTTATGTAGTTTATTACTTTTTGTTGGATAATGTCACCCCTATGCATCCTTGGACTATATGGGCAATGCCTCTGATTTGCATATGGGGCATACATTCTTCACTAGCAGCCATTTTCTAAAGCAGACGACATGATACTCGTGTCCACAATCTAGAGTGCCGATTTTCTCTTGATTCTTATAATCCTCCTGAAAAATTACAAAAAGGAAATAGCATATGTTAGGAGTGAATGGTAATGCCGGTATGAAAAAACTGAGCTACAAACTAGAACAAAGAAAAAATGTGCTCTTCAACAATGAATGGTGTGAGCTAAGCTGTAAGATCTCCTAATTACCTGGCAAATTGTAAAAAATTCAGGTTCTTGGCCAACAGGTGCCACTTCTTCCAGGTTACTATTTATTGCAAATGTCGAATACAATCTTATTTTCAATTTATGTCTGATGGTTTTGTTGGGAAATAACCGAGTCCGAGTAATTTCCCTATAATCAGATTAGTGAGAATGCGAAATAAAAGCAGAAAAATAATACCCGAAATTGATAACGGAGTTCAACCAATTTTGCCTACGTCTTCGGACTGCTGCATATTTTTTCTATAGAGAGAAAAATTACAGGTGTTTACAAAACACGCACTACTCACAAGAAAACTCTCTAGTATTGGGAGAAAGAAATGATTTGGGATTTTGGGATGATTTTGAAACTAAATGGGCTAGGGTATTTATAGTTGAAGCTTAGAGACTAATCTTGTAATTAACCCTATTTCTATTTCAATAAAAAATTTAACAACCCTCATTTAGCCGCCCCACTTGTTTAGCTGGCCACCTTTGAAATCATCTAGCCACCAAAAACCAATCTCCCACTTGAAGACTGATTTTAATCTGTCTTCACACCTCGATCAATGCAACATCATTTATGGTCTTGTTATTCTAGCATGCCAACTGAAGTTGAACACAACTTCAGTTTGTCTATAGTCACCGTCTTTGTGAACATATCTGCCGGATTTTGAGCTCCACTAATCTTTTCAAGTTTCAAAATCCCATCTTCCAGAAGAGACTGGATAAAATGGTATCGCAATTGTATGTGCTTCGTTCTGGAATGAAAAGACGGATTCTTTGCTAGAAGGATAGCACTTTGACTATCGCAATACAAGACATTGTTTTCTTGTTTCTTGCCTAATTCTTCCAAGAAACTTTGGAACCAAACCATCTCCTTGCTGGCTTCTGTAACAACGACATATTCTGCTTCAGTTGTGGAGAGAGCAACTATCTTCTGTAGTTGAGACACCCAACTCACTGCAGTACCTCCTAGAGTATAGACATACCCTGTAGTGCTCCTTCTGATGTCAACATTTCCGGCTAAGTCAGCATCTACATAGCCTGTCAGTATCGTATCTCCATCTTTGAAACAAAGTGCTTTGTTTGTGGTACCCCACAGATATCTGAGGATCCATTTGACTGCTTCCCAGTGTACCTTGCCCGGATTATTCATGTACCTGCTAACAGCTCCCACTACTTGAGCAATATCTGGTCTGGTACAAACCATGACATACATCAGACTTCCAATTGCTGAGGCATACGACACCTTCACCATGTGTGCATGTTCTTCCTCCGTATTTGGTGGCTGTTCTTTGGAGAGTCTGAAATGAACACCTAAAGGTGTTCTTACTGGTTTAGCATCTTGCATGTTGAACCTGGAGAGTACTTTATTGATGTACTCAACCTGTGATAACATCAAAGTCCCCGACTTTGTGTCTCTCTTAATCCTCATCCCAAGAATCTGTTTTGCAGCGCCCAGATCATTCATAGCAAACTGCTTCGACAATTTTTTGCTTCAAGTTTATAATCTCTTGCATGTCTGAGCCTGCAACGAGCATGTCATCAACGTACAACAATAAAATAATGAAGCTATTGTTGAACCTCTTGATGTAGCAACAATGGTCTGCTTGGCATCTGGTAAAACCACTGCTACTCATGAAAATATCGAACTTCTTGTACCACTGTCTAGGAGCTTGTTTTAAACTATACAAGCTCTTCTTCAACCTGCATACCAGGTTTTTCTTGCTTGCCTCTATGAAGCCTTCTGGCTGTCTCATATATATTTCTTCCTCCAAATCACCATGAAGGAAAGTTGTCTTCACATCTAACTGCTCAAGATGTAGATTCTCTGTAGCTACAATTTTCAACACCAGTCTGATTGTAGACAGCTTCACAATTGGAGAAAAAATTTCATTGTAGTCAATACCTTCTTTTTGCTGAAAACCTTTGACAACCAATCTTGCTTTGTAGCGTTTGCTCCCATTGTGCTCTTCTTTGATCCTGAAAATCCACTTGTTTGGAGCACTTTCTTACCTGGTGGTAATTCAACTAATTCTCATGTCTGATTTGACATAAGCGAGTCCATCTCATCTTTCATGGAAGACTCCCACTTGACTGAATCCTCCACCTGCATTGCTTCATCATAGTACTCTGGTTCACCATTGTCAGTCAGCAACAAGTAGTGCAAAGAAGGCGAATAACGCTGGGTTGGTTTAGGAATTTTGGAGGAGCGTCTCAGTTCTGGTGTGCCTGGTTCTTCTTGAACTGCTTCAGGACTGATCTGAACATTATTTCCAGAAATCTCATCGAACTCAGCAAATTCCTTTGTTTCAGCTTCGGTATTGGAGCTACTTGATTTTATGGTTTCCCTATCTTTGTACATCACATTCTCATTGAAAATAACATCTCTGCTTCTGATGATCTTCCGATTTTCATAGTCCCAAAATTGGTAACCGAACTCATCACCACTATAACCAACAAAGACACATTTGTTGGACTTGGCATCAAGTTTACTTCTTTCAGCAGAATCTATGTGTACATAAGAAATACAACCAAATACTCTTAAGTGTGAAAGGTTTATTTCTTTCTTGCTCCAAACTTCCTCTGGTATTTTGTCATCCAAAGGAACTGAGGGCCCATGGTTGATCAGGTAACCTGCAGTGTTGATAGCTTTAGCCCATAGAAATTTGGGTAATCCGGCATGTATCCTTATGCTTCTGGCACGTTCATTCAGAGTTCTGTTCATGCGCTCTGCTACGCCATTCTGCTGCAGTGTCATGGGAACTGTTGTCTCCATCTTGATCTCATTATTTGCGCAATAATCTCTGAATCTTCTATTTATGTACGCTCCTCCATTATCAGACCTTAACCGTTTGACTTTCAAACCAGTCTCATTTTCCACCATGACCTTCCATTTTCTGAAGGTATCAAAGACTTCTGATTTATTCTTCAGAAAATAAACCTGTCTCATCTGTCACGTTGGCAGATTCCTGGGCGCCGTTATTTTTCTTCGATGCTCGACAATCTTTTTTAAAATGACCCTTCTTGCCGCAGTTATAACAGGTAAAATCTTTCTTTCCCGTTCTTGATTTTCCCCTTCTGGATTTGGATCTGCCACGATTTGAATTTCTTTCTGAAGTTCTCCCTCTGGACTCCGTGTGCAAGGCTGAGGAGGTTGATGTTTCACCCGATTCTCTCCGTCGAATTTCTTCGCTCAGTACCAGATCCCAAACATCGTCGAATTTCAATTTACTATTTCCCGACGAGCTACTAACTGCTGTAACAGTAGCATTCCAACTGTCTGGTAGAGATGATAAGAGAATTAAAGCTCGAACTTCATCATCCAATTTCCACGGAACTCAACTGGGTTATGATTGTGTTGAGTTCATTTAGATGTTGAGCCACTGATGCCCCTTCCGCCATCCGCAAATTGAATAATTGGCTCATCAAGTTAACTTTGTTTGAGGCCGATGGCTTATCATACATACTGGAGAGAGCCGCCATAAGACCCATCGTGGTCTTTTCCTTTGCTATGTTGAAAGCAACATTGCGGGATAACGTCAGTCGTATAACTCCGATGGCTTGTCTGTCAAGAAGAGCCCAATATCCATTCTTCATGCCCTCTGGTTGCTTTCCTAAGAGAGGTTGATATAGATTTTTCTGGTACAGAAAATCTTCAATCTACATCTTCCAAAAGCCAAAGTCCGCACTATCGAACTTTTCAATTTTCACCTTCCCTTCGTCTGCAACCATCGCTCCCACTCTAATCTGGCTTCTTTGGATCGTTTCTGACAATTTCTGCGAACCGCCGTGTATTATAACATCTCCGTCGACAAACTCGTATCACCGACAAAATTTTACTATTCACAAAATTCACTATTTATGTGAATAGTAATGAATAGTAACCTCACAAAAAAATGATAAAATTCACAACCAAAAGCTCTGATTACCAGTTGTTGGGAAATAACTGAGTACGAGTAATTTCCCTATAACCATATTAGTGAGAATACGAAATAAAGAAGGAAAAATAATACCCTAAATTGATAACAGAGTTCAGCTAATTTTGCCTACGTCTTTGGACTGTTGCAGATCTTTTACTGTAGAGAGAAAAATTACAAGTGTTTACAAAACACTCACTACTCACAAAAAAACTCTCTAGTATTGAGAGAAAGAAATGATTTGGGATGATTTTGAAACTAAATGGGCTAGGGTATTTATAGTTGAAGCTTAATGACTAATCTTATAATTAACCCTATTTCTATTTCAATAAAAAATTTAGTCGCCCACCTTTGAAAACATCTAGCCACCAAAAACCATCTAGAAGCACATGCAATTATCAACAATACTGTCATCTAGAAGCCATATATTTTTCAACAGGTTTCATCTGATAAACCGGTGTTAACATTGCCAATCCGCTCTCCCAGCGCGAGCAACTCCTGTGGTCATTCGGAAAGTTCGAGGAAAGGGTCAGTAAAATTAAAGCCATAACATGCAAGACAAGACAACATCTAATGGGCTTCTTCATACCTCGTAAGACATTTCCTCTATATCCAAGCGCATATCTCTGTGATGATCTATAAGATTCCCAACTTCTTCGTAAAATTCTGGGAACTCTAGTACAGCAACCCCCTGCAGCAAGTCAAATAAAAGATATCAGCATATATATATATATATAAAACTGAAAAATAACCCCCAAAAAAGTGTCAGCCATAAATGAGTTACTTTCTCCTAGTTCAGAAAAGAAAACAAACGGTAAATGAACAGAGATACATTGCAGAAATGAAAAACAGTACTTACATCAGGTGGAAGAACTCTCAAGTGAGGGAGATTACGGTGTCCCAGAGAAGTCTCAGGTAACGCAACACTCTCCCTGCGACGCCAGCAGGTGGAACTGGTCCGAAATGCCTACGCCCCACCTCCAAACCATCCTGTGAAGGATTCATGGTGCTCTGTGAGGTATAACTCACTGGAAAGTAATAAGGAACTGCTGCCTCTTGCGGGTGTACATTAATGCTGTGGCCTGTTGAACTTTGATTTAAAGAATGCATGCTCATCTTCATTTCCCAATTACCACATTTATAGCATTTTACAATACCTGCTAGAATGTTCTTAGCTGGAGCAGTTACACCAGAATGCCTTGCTGGCATATCCTTCCTAACAACCAAATAACAACCTATTTGTTATTCACTGCTATTCTCATAATAGTTAACATTCTCCCTACTGTCTATGGACTCTAGAACTTTACAATTGATTTTGAGATTGTAGTAAAACAAAGAGAAATAAGCCCGAGACAAAGACTTGGTGAATCCATCAGCTTTTTGATGTCGAGCAGGAATGTAATTAACTCAAACTTTATCGGCAGCAACCTTCTCGCGAATGAAATGGAGGTCTAATTCAACATGTTTCGACCGAGAATGCAGAACAGGATTGGCACTCATCGCTATCGCACTCGTATTATCACTCCAAATAATAGGAGTGCTTGATGGCGAAATTCCCATATCTGTCAACAAAGCTTGAATCCAAACAACATCAGCCACAACATCCGCTAACGCACGATATTCAGCCTCAGTAGTCGACTGAGAGATTGACCGTTGACGCTTGGAACCCCAAGACACTAGATTACCTCCAAGAAAAACACAAAACCCAGATATCGAACGACGATCATCAACATTGCTTGCCCAATCGGCATCCGCAAAAGCTTCCAAGTGTAGACCCAATCCTGTCTTTTGAAACACTAGACCATAATCAAGTGTCCCACACAAATAACGCAAAATACGTTTCACAACCACCTAATGTTGAGTACAAGGCACATGCATGTACTGAGCTACACGATTGACACTATACGCAATGTCGGGTCGCGTATGATTTAAATATAGAAGGGCTCCAACAACGCTCCTATATAGTTGAACATCTTGTAACGGACTCCCTCCATCTTTACTTAGCTTCGGAGATACGACCATCGGTGTTGGAACTGGATGAGCATTACGCATGCCAGTACGTTCTAGCAATTCTAGAATAAACTTCTTTTGTCGTAAAATAAGCGAATGATTCGTCCGCTGAACTTCAAGTCCCAAAAAATAGTTTAAGTTCCCCAAATCTTTTAGAGAGAATTCTTGACTCAACTACGATATAACGCTTTCAACGTCAGTCTCATCTTACCTCGTAACTATGATATCATCGACATAAACGAGAACATAGGTGAAAGACTTCCCTATGCAACGAATGAACAAGGAGGCATCAGCTTGTGTCCCATGAAACCCAATTCGACCAAGAAAATCACATAGTTTCGCATACCAACTTCGTGGTGCTTGTTTAAGCCCATACAACGCCTTTTCAAGTTTGCAAACAAGTCGTGTGCCATCAGCAGCAAGTTGTTCAAACCCGGGAGGTTGCACCATGAACACCTCCTCTCGTAAGTCCCCATTAAGAAACGTATTATTCACATCAACTTGTCGCAATTTCCACCCATTCATAACAGCTAATGATAAAACAATCTTTACTGTGGAAGGTCTAATAACTGGGCTGAACGTATCATTAAAATCTTGTCCCGGAATTTGAGCGAAACCTTTCGCTACTAAACGAGCCTTATACCTCGCAACAGATCCATCAACATTTTTCTTGATCCGGAACAACCACTTACATCCAATTGTCGTTCGACCAGGAGGTAGAGACACCAACCGCCATGTACCCTTACCAATTAGAGCATTATATTCAGCCATGACAGCATCTTTCCACACAAGGGTCAGTAAAGCTTGTTCAATAGAAACTGGTTCTTCATCATCAATTACGGATTGAACCGAGAAGACTTTGGGTTTGAAGATCCCATCCTTACTTCTCGTAACCATAGAATGAATATTTGAAGAAGAGGGACGAGAAGTAATACCAGGAATATCAGATGAAACAACCATGTTCGAACTATTGTTGTGGGAAGATATTTGAAGAGTCGAATCTGGAGCAAGAGTGGAGTGCTCAGGAACACGCAAATCACCAGAACCGTCAATTTGTCTAGGAGAGATTGTGTGTCTCGCGGATCTATCCACATTATCACTGGACGCAACTTCAGCATCAACCTCAGCAGAATTCATCGGTTCGTCCACTCTATGACATGAGCTACTGGTACGAGAAGTAGATGATTCATTTTCATAATGATGCAACGTTGAGCACGATGGGACTGCTTGATTATTTAGCACCTTGTCGATGCCATGAACGACATCAATAATGGCAGACGGTTGTAAATTATTTGTAGGAGATGGATGAACAGCAGTAGCTTGACCTGCAAACGGAAAAACACTCTCATCAAACTGCACATGCCGAGAAATATAAATTCGACCTCCAGGTGCAAGACAAAGATAACCCTCATGTTGAACACTATATCCAAGAAAAGTACATGCTTGTGATCGATACTCAAATTTGTGAGATTGAAACGAACGAAGGCATGGAACTTTGATTTAAAGAATGCCTGTTCATCTTCATTTCCCAATTACCACATTTATAGCATTTTACAATACCTGCTAGAATGTTCTTAGCTGGAGCAGTTACACCAGAATGCCTTGCTGGCATATCCTTCCTAACAACCAAATAACAACCTATTTGTTATTCACTGCTATTCTCATAATAGTTAAAATGGCCCCTTACTCCTTCAATAAGCGGTGCAGGATGATGGAAGTTTGGATTCCGAAGGTCAAGGGGAGAATGTGAGAACCTTGTGGAACTTCTATGCCTAGTCTCCATAGGTCCACCAACATTGCTACCTGTAGAAAAACAAGTTCAAAGCAATCAGTTTCAAGGTGAAAACATATTCCTACAGTACCTAATTTACATCAATACTGCTATACATAAAAAGAAATATATATTTAGATAGAGAAAGCACCAACCATGTAAGGAACACCAGGAGCCTGAGCCCAAGTTGAGGTACCTCCATTTGTTATAGTCGGCTGAAAAGGCAGACCCAAGTAATTTCCCTGAAAATAATTATTGGCATTATTTATACTATGGTACGCGTGTTGCTTTGGTTGTTATGTTATAGGCATTTCATGTACTACATATTATATTACGTTCATCTATTATAATATTGTATATGTTTATAAGCATGTACTTATGTCAAATATAACCTATATATATATACATATATTTACTACATGGTTTACATGTTTTTATATATTTTACATATATGTATATGACATTTTGTACGGTATATCATAGTTTATATGTGTTTTATCCCTTTTTCTTTTCTTAAAGTGTATACATATTATTTTTCATTAAATATCAATTTTAAAATATGTATATATGTTACTAAGTAAAAATAAGATGTCAACCTTTTGTAGGGGATCCATAAAAACGTCTCTCAATAATAAGGGAAGTGTTTTTTTCGAGGATTGTTCGTGCAAAAGGATATTCCACTATTATTTGACCGATTTTATAATGTAGTATTAACATATTTTGATATAAAAATCAAGAAAATGTCATTTTGTGTGAGTAATCTATGAAAAAAATCTCCCGACTACATAAGAAGTATATTTCGAGGATTGTTCGCATAAAAAGACATCATTTTACTTGATTTTTTGATTTAATGTAATATTATTATATTTTTAAATATTAAATAAAATCAAGACAATGTCATTATGTGAGGAAAATCTATAGAAAAATCTTCTAACTTAAGGGAAGCGCGTTTTCAAGATTGTTCGTACAAAAGATACTCTTTTAAATAATATTTTTTTCATAATATATACTCCTTTTAATAATATTTAACATAGAACATTCATACTTGTTCCTTGAATGTTGCATAACTGAGGAGGAGATAGTATCATAAATAAGGAGGATGACAATCTTCGTTAATCTTTCAAATTAAAAGGATATCCCTTTTAAAATAAATTCAAGTGAATCAAGTCATTTTCTAAACCAAATCCTTTTTAACAAATTTCACTGAATTTAAAATAAATTTAAATGAACAAAATGATCATAATTTAAATGCATGTCTAAGTTTATAATTGATGAGTGTTCAAAATCTTTAATCTTTGCTTGTTATTTCTTCGATTTTGTGGAATTATTGCTGCTGAATTGGTCGTGTTATACTTGTTTTTGTACAGGTTATTGCTTTCCAGAATTTGTGACAAAATGGGCGAATTCTGCATTTTTATTATTATTTGGTCACGGCTGGAGACATGTGCACGACTTTGGGCACGACGCGTCTGACGTGGCAGTTTCTAGAAGGTCAAGTCAGCGGCGATTTCTAGAAGACTTCATCCGCACGCCTTCTGGAAGATTAACGAGCAGAGTTGCATTAGGAGACTAGTTTAAGTTTGAATTTAAATTAAAAACAATTATCTTTTAGGATTATTTTATTTATTTTCTTTGTTTATCTCTTAGGCTTTGAGAGGCTATAAATAGCAACTTAGGGTAAGCCTAAACTCATCATTCAGATTACATTCTTCTTTTCTCTTTAGTTTTTATAAAAGTTTTCTCCTTTTACTTTTCAAGTTCTTTTCATTTTTCTTTTATTTTTCAAGCTTTATTTTCAAAATGCTAAGTATGACTTTTGTCATGCTTAGCTAAACTTTTCATAAGCCGAGAGCTATCGCGATGACTCAATTCCATCGGGAAAATTGAAACAGACCCTTAATATCTTCAAAATATCTCTCTCAATCTCTGCGCTTATTTTTTCAAAATCAAAACAGTTTTCAAAATCAAAGATTGACTTTGGTCAAGAGGTTGTTGCGATTAAATGTGTGGGAGGAAGATTCAGTTATAGAAAGCAATTCGACTTCCTGGGAACATACTTGGCGAGATAGCTTCGCCAAGAGGGAATTGAGATCGGAATTGACGGTTATCAATGCAATAATCCGAGTCGGACGCCATGAACTTAAACGGTAATTGATCTACGACAATTGATGTTGTTAGAATCAATTACCGAAGCCGGAATCAAAGATTACCTTGGGTATTCGGTATACAAGATAGAGTCACGGGGATAGCCCTTGTAGACAAAGTAACAGACGTGAATCTCGAAGAGAAAACCTTATTCGATGATCATAAGGAAATTGAGTCAAAGCGAAGCTTGAGGCTACTTTTACATTATTTATTCACAATCTTCATCTTCTTATTTTTACTTTAATTACTTTTACTTATTTAATCGGTTTTATTAATTTAATATTTTCTTACTAAAATTCCCCTATTTTTACTGTTTCACGCCTGACATAAATAAATCAGACAAAAATTTATAATTTTCTAAGTCCCTGTGGAATCGACCCTTACTTCTCTTTACTACGTATTTCTTTTATTTATTGATTGAGAATGAGGAATTTATTTTGACATCCAAAACGACAGTTTTCAAATTGGCACCGTTGCCGGTGACTTCGCCAAAGTTACTAATTTTTGTTTGTTTTTTATTTATGACCAGGTCTAATCCGGGAGCATTAGTGGAGTACGACCCGAAGATTGAAGCCAAAGCTAGGAGACTCCACGCACAGACGCCGCGGCACCTACTGAACATGTGCCTTTGAGCATTGATTTTCCCCAAGGCGAAACTCCGAACCAGTTGAAAACTGGCCTTATTCATCTCCTCCCTATATTCCGCGGACTACCAAACGAGGATCCACACAAACATCTCAAGGAATTTTATATGGTCTGCTCTAGCATGAGACCACAGGGAGTAACCAATGACCAAATAAAACTTATAGCTTTTCCTTTTTCCTTAGCCGATACAGCTAAGGAGTGGTTATTTTATCTTCCTCCTAATTCTGTAACTACATGGGCTCAAATGACTCGTCTTTTTCTTGACAGGTTTTTCCCTACGACAAAAGTAAGTGAACTACGAATGAGAATACTTGGAATCAAGTAGCTTGATGGAGAGTCACTTTACGACTACTGGGAGCGGTTTAAGAAGTTATGTTCTAGTTGCCCACAACATGAGTTAACTGAACAAACACTCTTTCAATACTTTTATGAAGGATTATCTCCCCTGGAAATGAAGATGATAGATGCTGCCAGCGGCTGAGCCTTGGTGAATATGACTCATACTGAGGCTAGAGACTTAATATCGACGATGGCCGCAAATTCCCAACAATTTCGCACAAACAATGAACATTCTCGAAGGGTTCATGAGATAAGTTCATTTTCCTTAGAAAATAAAATAGACAAGTTAACTGAAGTCGTAAACTCTCTTGTTACAGGAAATATAGGACAAAATCGATCATGTGGAATATGTGCATTACCTGATCATCCAACATAAGGTAGTCCATTGATTCAAGACGACACAGCAACTCAAGTCAACGCAGTTGGAAACTTTCCAGGACCTCCCCAAAGAGCTTATAACCCTTATGGTAATACATACAACCCAGGATGGAGGGATCATTCGAACTTCAGTTACGCTAAGAACTCGAGACCAAACCAAGGCTATCAAGCGAGACCTCCACCACCACAACAACCGCAGAAGTCATCATTAGAATCGATTGTCGAGAGGTTAGCACTTTCCCAGGAAAAATTCCAGACTCGATCTGAAGCACACTTCCAAGAGATGGACAAACAGATAAGCCAACCAGCTCAAACCATAAGCCACTTGGAATCACAAGGTAAACATCCGTCTCAAACTGAAGTAAACCCGAAGGAGAATGTTAGTGCCATAACTCTTCGGAGTGGTATAGTAGTGGCACCACCTATTCCATCGAACGAAGTGACCCAGAAAGAGAAGAAGACTGATGATTCAGGGTCCTAGGAAGAGAATAACGAAAAACAAATAGACGACCTAATGCTATCTCCCTATGACGTGCCATCATCTTTTCCGTCGAGGTTAGTCAAAAGGGATAAAAAACTGAGGAAAAAGAAATATTAGACGTACTTCGGAAGGTGAAAGTTAACATACCTCTACTGAGGTTATTCAGAAGGTTCCAAGGTATGCCCAGTTTTTTAAGGATCTATGTACGACTAAAAGGAAGCTTACCGGGGTCGAGAAAGTGAATTTAGGAGCAAACGTCTCAGCCATTTTCCAACGGAGGTTACCACCTAAACTAAAAGATCAAGGTATGTTCGCGATCACTTGTAAAATTGGTAAGGTTGAGATAAAACGAACAATGTGTGATCTTGGCGCATCAATTAATGTAATGCCTCTATCTGTTTATAAAATGGTTACTAACGATCCTTTGAAGGATACCAAGATCTCGATACAGCTTACCGACAAGTCAGTGATCTATCCAGAAGGACTCTTAGAAAATGTATTGGTGGAGGTAAACGACTTGATATTTCCTGCCGATTTTTATATAATCGATACGGAGAATGATCGCACAAGCACGTCATCTGATATGCTGCTGGGGCGCCATTTCCTAAGTACTGCACACACAAAAATTGACGTGAGAAGCGAAATTTTAACTATGGAATTTGACGGTGAGATCGTTAAATTTGACGTATATAAGGCAATGAGATATCCTGATAAAGTGGAAAGTTTAAATTCTATCAATTTAATTGATCATTTGGCTGATTAATTTTTAAAGACTAATTTTTCCTTTAATATATGCAAGGAGCTAGAGGATCATGATGAAAACGTGAATTTTAATCATACCGAATTGAATTTGATTTCTTCCAAGCCTAAAGTCTTGCATTCTATTTTGCAGGCACCTGAAGTTGAACTGAAACCGTTGCCTGATCATTTGAAATATGCATTCCTCAGAGCAAACAATGCTATACCAGAAATCATATCAAAAAAGTTATCCGAGGAGGAGGAAAGAGACTTAACAACTGTTTTGCGCCAATACAAGGAGGCTATAGGATGGACCATCGCTGATATAAAAGGGTTGAGGCCAACCACTTGCAAGCATAAAATTAAAACCGAAGAAGGTGCAAAACCAATACGTGAAGGTCAACGACGGCTAAATCTACCAATGATGGAAGTGGTAAAAAAGAGATATAAAAACTTCTAGATGCAGATATTATATATCCAATTTCGGATAGAAAATAGGTAAGTCCGATACATGTAGTTCCTAAAAAAACAGGAGTTACTGTGATAGAAAATTCTGAAGGAGAACTTGTACTAACACGAGTTCAAAATGGATAGTGAGTTTGCATTGATTACAGGAAGTTAAATTCTTTAACTCAAAAAGACCATTTTCCTCTTCCATTCATAGATCAGATAATAGAACGATTAGCCGATAAATCTCACTATTGTTGTCTTGATGGATTTTCAGGTTTCTTCCAGATTCCTGTAGCACCTGAAGATCAAGAAAAGACGACATTCACATGCCCCTTCGGCACCTTCGCTTACCGACGCATGTCTTTCAGACTCTGCAATGCACATGCCACATTCCAAAGGTGTATGATTAGTATTTTTTCTGATCTTATTGAGAAAGGTATTGAAGTCTTCATGGATAACTTCACTGTTTACGGTAATTCATTCGATGGATGTCTATTAAACTTGAAAAATGTGTTGCGTCGATGCCTAGATTTTAACCTTGTTCTGAATTATGAAAAGTGTCACTTTATGGTTGATAAAGGTCTAATTCTAGGATATATTGTTTCATCTAAAGGAATTGTGGTAGATAAGGCGAAAACTGATATAATACATTCACTTCCTTACCCCACTACAATGAGGGAAATTCGCTCTTTCCTTGGTCATGCAGGTTTTTACCGTAGATTCATTAAGGATTTCTCTAAGGTGGCACAACCATTATCAAGCTATTACAGAAGGATAAAGCCTTCAATTTTGACCAACAATGCCAAGAATCATTCGACATACTAAAGGAGAAGTTGGTTACGGCACCCATAGTCCAACCACCAAATTGGGATTTCCCCTTCAAAGTAATGTGTGATGCTTCGGATAGAAGTGTTGGGGTTGTGCTCGGACAAAAGATCAGGAAAGAACCTCACGTTATCGCTTATGTATCCCGTACCTTGGATTCTACACAACGGAATTATTCAACAATCGAAAAAGAATTATTTGCTATTATTTTTGCATTAGATAAATTTAGATCATATCTTCTTGGCACTAAAGTTATCGTTTTCTCTGATCATGCAACCTTGAAGTACTTGCTCAGCAAAAAAGAGGCGAAACCATGACTAATCCGTTGGATCTTACTCCTCTAAGAGTTTGATTTGGAAATCAAGGACAAGAAATGATGTGAGAACTTAGTAGCCGATCACTTAAGCCGGCTTCCAATCACTACAGTGGATCCTCCCATTCGTGAAGAATTTCCGGAGGAAAGCTTGATGATGGCGCAAGCGTCGATACCTTGGTTCGCAAATATAGTCAATTACTTAGCTACAGGTAAATTGCCATCTGATTTAACGAGAGCTAAAGTAAACCGTATTAAAAGAGAATATTGTTTCTTCATTTGGGATGATCAGTATCTTTAGAAGCATTGTTTAAACTAGGTAATTAGACGATGTGTTTCTGAAAGCGAGGTAAGCTCAATTTTAAATTTTTGTCATTCTTATTCGTGTGGTGGACACTTTGGACCGAAACAGACCGCTCATAAAATTCTGGAATGCGGATTCTTTTGGCCTCATATTTTCCGTGATGCTTATTTATTTTGCAAATCTTGTGATAATTGTCAACGTGCCGGTAATTTTGAGCCGAAGAAAGGAAATGCCCCTTAATCCTATACATATATGCGAAATATTTGATGTTTGGGGACTTGACTACATGGATCCATTTGTTTCTTCTTTTAGAAATTATTATATAATTCTTGTGGTTGATTATGTTTCGAAGTGGGTAGAGGCTAAAGCCACTCGAAACAACGATGCTAAAACTACTGTTCAATTTCTAAAGAATTGTATTTTTTCCAGGTTTGGTACACCGAGAGCGATAATAAGTGACCGCGGTACACACTTCATCAATCGAGTAATTGATGTGTTTATGAAAAAGTATGGAGTGAATCATAGAATTGCCATGGCTTATCATCCGCAAACGAACGAACAAGCGGAAATTTAAAACCCGAGAAATAAAGATGATTCTTGAGAAAATAGTTAAGCCAAATCGCAAAGATTGGAGCTTGAAATTAATTGACGCTTTGTGGGCTTATCGAACCGCATATAAAGGACCTATCGGCATGTCGCCATATCGCCTTGTGTTCGGTAAGCCGTGCCATTTACCTATCGAGCTAGAACACAAGGCATATTGAGCCGTAAAACAGTGCAATATGGAGTTAGAAGCGGTTGGTGAAACACGAATGTTACATATACAAGAGCTTGAGGAAATCCGAAGAGATGCTTACGACAACGCCAATATATATAAGGACAAAACAAAAGAATTACATGATCGAAAAATTGTTTCTAAATCTTTTTCTATCGGACAAAAAGTTATTATTTTTAACTCAAAATTAAAACTTTTTGCAGGTAAACTTCGATCAAAATAGAAAGGACCTTATACGGTAACTGAAATATTTCCTCATGGGGCAGTCAAAATTAAAGACAATTCGGGCACTCGGTTTAAAGTAAATGGACACGGGATTAAATCGTATTATGCGAATAGTGAAGTTTGCTTAATTGAAGATCTCGACTTAGAAGAACATGTAGTCTGAATCAGGTCGTTGAGCTAACGACGTTAAACAAAAATGCTTCATGGGAGGCAACCCATTGTTTTTCTGTTAAATTTTTATTTTTACTTTTTATTTTTATTCAATCAAGCATGATTAATTTAATTTTTATTTTTATTTTAAATGAATCAAATATTTTATTCAAATTTAAACGACGTTAAATTCGAACCGTTTTAATAACGGCGCACGTTAACAGAACCCAAGGGGAGCTCGACGCACATTAGCGAAGCCCAAATATTTTTCCCCCTAGTTCGATTCTATTACCCCTCACCTTATCCACTTCCCCCTTTTTATATTTTATGAACCCCACCTTATCACCATCTATCCATCTTTTTCAATTTTCAAACACTTTATCATTAAAAAAATAAAACCATTTTGACTAATACTCAACCTCTCCTCCCACGCATGGTAGTCTCAAGTTAAACCCAAATCAAATAAACTTCCCCCTTTTATCTTCTCCAACTCGACCACCCCCCAAGCGCACGCCTCTTCCTTCTCACCGCCGACGGATACAACACAAAGACTTTTACTCATTTCAACGTCTTCACGACCACCCACTTTTCCCTATCCCGCTATGGTGCGCACGCAAAACCGACCCGATAACACAAACACTCCTCCTCCCACCATTTTTGGAGGACCCTGCCGCTCAAACACGTCGGCATTCGTCGAGTTACCCAGTGATTCCAACTCCATTCCGTTGTCACCCCCAGTTCAAACGA